AATTAGGACTACCATCTCCATCATTCTTAGCTGGTTTAGACAAACTGCTATCTGAGGATATTTGGAGAGGTCTATAATTTAGTATATGGTACTAAATTGGAAATGTCTGTGCTAGGGATACATGTACAAATAAAAAAATATGCTTTCTCTGCAGTGAGAAATATTTCAGAGTTCAAGAGAAAAAACTATTTAGAACACATATAAATCTTTATTATGGATTTCGTATGTGTGGCTCATCCTTTTCCACTTGATATGGATCTATATTCATTCAAGGCTTATATAGGAATTGCTCGTAATTTCAGTACAATGGGAGAGAAAAGATAAGTTCTACACTTGATTAAATCTGTGAATTCAGAGGTTTTAAGCAAGGAAACAAAAATATTAACACAGCCTAAGCAGAAGAGTGCTTGCTTCATTATTTACCGTATATATGTAGCCCAAAATAGGAAGAAAATGTGGTAAGGGAGTTGATTTGGCTCATATGTTGCTATGAATATACCTAAATATATCTTGAAATAATATTTGGTTATATAGCCAGAGTAAATAAGTTTTCCCTTAAAAAACAAATGACATGCATTAAAGAATTCAAGCAATTTTATTTTTTATATTAGAATAAATAGATGTTCCAAACGGATCATATTTTTTAAAACTATAGCTTACTAAGGCTAGGTTCAAGAATTGTTTTTCAGTGGCACAGTATGTAGAATAACAATTCTATAGGCAATGACTAGAGGAGGGCAACAGATAAACAGAAAAGTTTATTCAACGACAATTTTGGATTTATCCCATAGGTGCAAATACCAGCAGAGTTGGTTACAATACTTACAAATGTGCATAGCATAATGTGTTTATTTTTCATTGTTGTATGCTTTGTATATATTTCCATATATGATTAAACTTTATTTTTTTTGCCCATCTAAAGCATTTTGTTCCTTATATGATCTTTTGAATATTCAGACATGCACATTTATTTATTACCTTGGTTTCTTCGTACAATATGTGTTTGTTTAGAAATAATGGAAAAGGGCTTTTATATGTTCCTACATTTCTGCCACTTCTATTGCCTTTGAAGTAAAATTTAAATGTTAACAGAGGGATCATCATCAACCTGAGCTGTTTAATAAGAGGTAGAGAGATAAAACATTGTGATGGCCATGTTTTGAAGCCTAAATTTGGTTGGAGACATGATTTCTGCTGGTGGATCTGCATGAACAATCACTGGCTTTGCTGAGCCCTAGACTGGATTTAGTAGTAGAGACAAGGATGCTGGTGTATACAGATATTAACATTCTGCTTAACTATACAGTAGATAATAAGAGGAACATTAATCATCAGTCAAAACTAATTGGCTGATAGTTGGTTATAAAATATGCTTTCCACAGGGTGGCCCAAAAGAACATACAGATTCAGTCCAGTGGTTCTGTTAGGAGGCTATGCATGACATTAGAACAGGGAAGAACATTAGACTGGAATGTATACACAAATGAGGGACCATTCCTTTAATGTCTTAGCCATAGTACCAATGTTGACTTTCCTCCAGGGACAACTTTCAATCTTTTAAACATGCAAATAAAAACAAAGTCATAGCCTTGGGCAGGTGGCATTTCAAAGTTTTCTTTCCCCAGAAAATGGAAGGTCATTAGGGGAGTCTGTAAAGACTTTTATGTTGTGATAGAAATTATAGAATGCTTAACAGAAGAGATCTTGACTAGAGTAAACAGTTTTGAATTTGGGGGGGGGGGGAAAGCACACGATTTAACAAGAATGACTGGAACTCTAATTTAGGCTATGGGAGTGTTTCCCATCCTTGGCAACCTTAAGTTGTGTGGACTTCAACTCCCAGACTCCCCCAGCCAGGATGAGGGAGTGGAGTAACAGACTCTTTAAGACCAACAATATTCTTCCTCCTTCCTTCCTTCCCTCCCTCTTATACTCAAAAGAGCTAAGGTGGGACTAGTTTAAGTTTCTTTCTAATGTCTTCTTATCTTAACCTTAAATGATAATTTTCTAACTGATATCACATAGTTTCTCCAAGGTTATCTCTACAAGCATAATTAGTCTGGTAGCCTTTGTTTGTTACATTAAACATAATTAGTTTGGTAAGTTTTCAAGATGCTGTTATGTGACCATTTGGAAACTGAAGAGCTGGGGGTGGGGTGTCAAGAAAGCACCTGAATTCAGTCCTTATGTGCTATGTCTATTTTCTGAGCAGACAACATAGAAGATAATAGAAGAAACAAGGAGCACTGTAATGCATCATGTTTAACACAAGAAATAGCAAACTCACTGCTGATGAGGCTAATGAGAATGGCTTTTTAATATAATGCAGCAACACCAGAGGGCAGAAGACTAGCATGAAATAAAGGGGAAACAAAGCCAGCATTCAGAATTGGGGAACCTGAGGATGTGAGAAACTCACAGTTTCACAAAGTTGGCTCCACAGTTACATGCAAAGCCAAAATAATAATAATCAGTATAAATATTAATAGAGAAACCAGAAGTTAAAAGGCAAGTTCAGGTCTCAGTGGCAACTTGAACAGAGATGGAAGAAGGCAGAGCACTAGATTTAACATACTGAAAAAGAGTACATACTGAATATCCTGAAACTGGGTCAGGGATATGGTAAGACCCAATAGTATAAAACTGAAAATCAGCATTTGCAATAGGAATTTTCTGAAAAACAGGACAAAGAAAAAGTTTAGCTGCAGTTTAAAGAAGGTAATCAGAGAGCCAGTTTAGTCGTGGTTAAAGCACCAATAGAAATTAGAAATGAGGAGACTGTGACTTTTAGTCCTATTCCAAGGCATGAAAGTGACTTTGGGTAGTCATACTGTCTCAGCTCAACTCATCTTACAGGGTTATTATGGGGAAAAGAGATGGCAGAAGATGCATTAGGCATGTTTGCTGCCTTGAGTTATTTATAAAGTAATAAAAAATCATGATTGGAAAAACATTCAGCAAGAGATAGGGTTGAATGGCTGGAGAATTCAAAGGAGGAAATATGGGTGATTAACATTTGCTGAAATAATAGCACTGAAATGTCAATTATTTTGTACTAGATAAACTGTACTCTCTTCTTTCCGGTATGGCTTTCTGACACTAAATTTCCAAGGAAGAAGAAGAAAATGTTTTGCTTCTCATCCAAGAAGCTTCATAGGTTGTGTCACAACTGATGAAGCTTCTTGGATGAGAAGCAAAACGTCTTTTTCTTTCTCAAAGAAAAAACAATCCAGGTGTGTTTTGAAAAAGCACCTTTGAGACAACTATGACCTGGATGACTAAGAATCTCCTTAGAAATTTTGACACTAAGGTTGGAAATTTTATAGGGCCTGGAAATATGTACCAACTATTATCTTAGTTCAGTAAACTTAATTTTAGGGAATTACAAAATCATATTATGCAGGTCCCAAGATGTCCATGGAGCATGGAGTTCAAATCTAACACTAGCACCCAAACCTGATACATGGGATTCCAAAACATACCAACCATCATTGGGAATTTCTGAGAAGACAGTAGCATTGTAGGAGACCAGCATCACACATAGTTAGAGGGTAACATGTTATTTGTATCATCTGTATCAGTAGATAATTAAGGATACTGTACACCCATCTCAGTGGCACTGATGTAGGTGCTGTCCAGCAATATTTCTTTGTTTCAACCACTTGTTTCTTTAATTTATCATTAGGTATTTTTTGCAGATTCCTTGTAGGAGACCATTTTTGCATGCTTTTTCTGCCCACAAATTATAATATCCCCCAAAATATTCATCTTTCTAAAATTCCTTTAAGATACTTTTTTTTTTTTGGCCAATATGAAAAGTTGCCTTACTAACTTTTCCTACCCAATTGGATCTTAATAGAATAGAATAGATTTTTTTTATTGGCCAAGTGTGATTGGACACACAAGGAATTTGTCTTGGTGCATATGCTCTCAGTGTACATAAAAGAAATGCATCCATCCATTCTATTCACATCAGCGGTGGGTTGCCCCGGTTCACACCGGTTCTATAGAACCGGTAGTAAAAGCGGCGGAAGGCTCTGCCCACCAATCCTGATGTCATCAGAATGCTTCTGCGCATGCGCAGAAGAGCACATGTGGCCCTTATTGGCTCTTATGAGTTCCTCTCACTAATTCTCGTGATTTGTAAAAGGTTTAGAGTCTCCAGATCTCTGTCAAGTCACATATCTTCTTTAAACAATTATCTTCACCAGGCTGGGCTTGGAGTAGAGGTCAGCAAGGGCAAGAAAGGTGATAAGATTGAAGTTGTTGAATGAAGCCAGATCCCATTTCCCAAACTACAGTTTCCGAATCTATTGCTGAACCAATTGTTGAGGAATATCAATTCTGCATCCAGCGAGTACAGAAGGTCAACAGCTAATTTTTTTATTTAGCAATGATTGTTTGATCTGCTCTGTAGAAACAAACATTGGGAGGGTTGTATACTAAGAAGCATGCATAGCACAGTGTATCCATTTCTCAATGGTTTAATATATGAATTTCTAGAGTTAAACTTTACATTTTTTTTGCACAGACAGTTAGTTCCCTGTATGGTTTTTTAAAACACTAAAAAGTCATTGTCCTATCCTAGAATATCATGGCATGGTATTTCTCAAATTTCTCTGTCTTCACTCTAGACAACAATTATTCATTTAGTTTATCCATACCTACAAAATACTGTTTTCCAAAAAATGAAAATCAGAACAGCCAGGAAGGTGGGAGGCAATAAAAATATACAGGATCGGTGATGGAATTCAGCTCCGAATCAAACCTTGATCCGAAATAATTCAAAGAACTTACTGAATCCAAAAGCTGCGGGATATCGACCTGATAACAAAATACACCACAGCCCTTTGCGCAATCATAAAACGAGCGGGTGTTGAGGGTTGCGCAGCCCCAGGGCGTCTATTTGAGTCGTAGCGGACAACGCGCCAAGGTGGAGCGTGGGGACTCCAGAAAGGTCAAGCTTGGAGGGAGGGCCTAAGGCACAGAGAAGGAGGTAGGACTCGCCTTCTCCTGCCAAATTAGGCTGTAGTCACGGAATAAGGCTTAGCAATAGCAAGCGAGGATGCCGGAAGGCACGCGTGGGGCCACCCAGCCCATGAACTAGAGCCGCACGTCCCGCGGGAGTGGAGGCCTGAGGCAAGAGAACGGGCTGAGGTACCGCCGTTGCCAGAGCCAGCAAGGGAGCGCTGTGCCTCCGAGGGGTGGACCTAGGCGCTGGTTCGCGGGGCGGCTGGAGTAAAACTCGAGCGGCGTCCTCCGGCCAGCGCCAGCGTTCGAGACGGCAGCTCGCGGAGTAAAAGGCGGCAGCGGCGGCGCGAAGGAAGGAGAAATCGAGCGGCTCTTGCGCCGCTGCCCTCAGGATGTCCGCGCACAGCCTGCTCAACAGCGTCTTCTCGTGCTCTTCCTCGCCGGCGGCTGCCGGCAGTCCTCCACTCTGCTCCAAGAGCTTGTCCAAGCGGGGACTTCGTCAGACCCGCAGTCTGGACCCCGCCGTGATCGGCCGCTCCGGCGGGGAAGAAGGGACGGCGCTGGAGAGTTCTGGCCGCTCCGTGCGGGCCAAAACGACGAGCGGTCCTTCGGCCGAATATTTGGCGGCCTTTTCTTCGCGCGCCCTGCTGCGCCCGCCCGGCGGGGGGCAAAGCGCCTTCTCGCTCTCCGTGCCCAGCACGCCCCTGGACAAGTCGCCCTCGGGCAGTTTCCACTTTGACTATGAGGGCCCTCGAGGCAAGAGGCTCACGGCGTGGGAGCTGCCTTTCTTGGCGCGCGCGCCCTCAGCCTCGGCTCTCAGCGGCGGGTACGGGGGTAGCGGGGCCAACAGCATCTTCTTTTCCCCCAGAAAGTGGCTCCAGCAGAGGAAGGGACAGCATCTGCCCAGCAGTCACGCCTCTTCCTACGTAGTGTGGAAAGCCGAGGTAGGAGCGTTGTCTTTAAAGCTTAGATTAATCATTGACCGGCCCTCTCACACGGTGGGGTAACTTTTCAATTAGGAGCTATAGTGGAGCTGATGTGTTGAAGACTTAAAATGTCCTGCTTTATGAACCCTGCTGACTTTAGGTAATTATCCTCATCTGGGAAAAGGAGTTGATAATCTTGTCTCAATAAAGGAGAATATTTGTAGCTCAGGGCTGAAATAAGGGGTCTTTGGTGCTCTCTAAGGTCCATGGTTGTTTTCTTGCAAAGGTTTAGGCAAACTGCACTGATGATGGTTACCTAGCTTGGGTAATGAAACGTCTGCAAGAAAACAACCAAGCTCAGAGAACACTAAGGATCCCTCAATTTTGCCTCAGTTATAGAACAGGTTTGTAATTCTCAAAGTACCATATATGGAACTTTATTAGTATTTGAAACTTTTAGACAAATGCATAATGATCTTTGCAATCTAAAATGGATCCAGAACAGGATGGAGAACTTTAACCTGCCAGATGTTTGTTGATTCAACAGTCTCGGTTGACATGATGAATGGGTGTATGGGTGTTGCAATTCAGCCCAAGGAAGCACATGCTTCAAATACTGTACTTGCTGAGAATATTGTTGTCCCATGTTGAGTGAGGGAATGTTCATCCTTCTCCATCATAAGAGTCTTCAAAAACATATTTTATCAGTATCAGGTTTACCTGGATGTGTGCCTTAAATATGGATACTTCATTTTCCCCTCTTTCTACCTTTCTCACAGGTTTATTTGTTTAATTATGTTTAAACTTTATCCTGAGAGTTTAGTATGCCTGTATAAGAAAGTTTTTCTTCTTTTATCAAGTTATTCTTTCTTGTTGCCAGGTTGCATCTCTTTAGTGATGTAATGGCATGACTATATTCTGTCCTAATTACACATAGTTTACAAAAAATAATGGATAACATAAACTTGAGTGTTCAAAGAAAAACTCACCTCCCAAAGCATACAATTAATGTGCATAAATTGCAATTAGATTATTATTGTCTAGTCACACTAAATCTAGTCAAATATATACGTTGGATTTCAAAACATTATTTATTTCCAATAAACTGAGCAATAGGTAAGTAAAATTCTGCAACATAACAAACTAATAGGAAGAAGGCACCAAGATGGATAGGAGGTTTTTTTTAAAAAAAGCCATTAAGAGCAAATCACAAATCTAATGACAAAAGAAGTCAATATATAAGTGACATTTTTTATTAATAATTTGGATAAAGAGATGGGATAATCTTATCAGATTTGCAGATGACACATACAAGATAGAATAACTAATACTACAAAAACAAAATTCAATATAATAATGACAAGCTGAAGGATGCATTGAAAATACAGAATGAAAAATTAGTAGAAACATGCAGATTTAAATTCACTTTGTAATTTATAGGACATCCAAATCCACCAAGACTCTGGGCAGCTTACAAATTTAAAAGTAAAGAACACTATTAAAAGAATAAAGATAATAGACCCTCTTTCTCCACAAAAAGTGAGCCTGGAAGGGCTTAAGAAGCACAGATTAACTGCAAGAGTATGGATGATGGATTCCTGGTCAGATAGTAAATCTGAAAGAAATCTTGGAATAGAACTTGGTTGCACACTTAATGAGTCAATAATGTGACATGGATGTAAAGTATGTAAAGGACTCAAATGGAAGAAGGATATGATTTGTTCTTTGAACTGTAGAGTACAAGTTACAAAATCATGGTCTTAAACTGCAGGAACATAATTTTCGGGTGTTAGCAAAAAATAGTAAACATAGTCTGACAATGGAGTCATTTACCTCCTAGACAATGGCAGGATCCTCTTTGTTTTGAGTATGTTTGAGCAGACCTGTATCTGGAAGGCTTTAAACTGGATTTTCTAATTTTCTGAACTCAATAATTTTAACTCCATACCTAAATGGCTCATTCCAACTATGCGAATCTAACATGCTTGATTAGCTATAACTTCTCCAGTCTCCCTGAGTTTGCACATATACATGCACCCACCAGCGCCCTTCCTCCCTGGCCTCCCTGCCTTTGCAAATATACACCCTGTGACCTCTTTCCCCAACACTCTAATGTTTGCACACACACATGCATCCAGTAATTCTCCATTTCCCTAGCCTCCCTGCACTCGCAACATGTACCCTGTGCATTCTTTCCCTGGCCTCCCTGTGCTCATACACACATGCACTCAGCAGTGCCATGCTACCCTGGCTTCCCTGCACTTGCACACACAAGTTTCCACAATTCTCCCCTGGGTCTCCCTGCATTTGCACACACATGCATCCACCAGCATTCTCCTTTCCTGGCCTCCCTTGCTCACGTACATCCAGATACGCATGCATGCACCCCACCCCCTCTTCCTCTGCTTACACACATTCATGCATGCCCTCTTTTCTTAGTCTCTTTGCACTTGCACACATGCATCTTCCATCCTCTTGCCTCAGTCTCCCTGGGTTCATGCTACACTGCATCACTCCTCTCCCCCCCACCACTTGCATGTGGACTGCACAGGCCTTCCAGGCCTCCGCCCATTGTCTGGGACTCCCTCTGCTTCCTGCTTAATGACTTTGGGATAAAACAACAACTGGGATTGCCTAGATTGCCACTGTTAAATGAGTCATGTTATCCCACACTTTATGACTGCATCACTTAACGACAGCAATTCTCTTGTCAGTTGCCATTGTAGCATTGCAATTGAGTTGTTGATTAATAAAAGTTTGCAGAACCTGCATATGTGAATTTATTTTTGTTGTTGTAAGTTGCAAAGTCGTGTCCGACCCAACGTGACCCCATGGACAATGTTCCTCCAGGCCTTCCTGTCCACTACCATCCTCTGGAGTCCATTTAAGCTCACGCCTATTGCTTCAGTGACTCCATCCAGCCACCTCATTTTCTGTCGTCCCTTTCTTCTTTTGCCCTCAATCTTTCCCAGCATTAGGCTCTTCTCCAGTGAGTCCTTCCTTCTCATTAGATGGCCAAAGTATTTGAATTTCATCTTCAGGATCTGGCCTTCTAAAGTGAATTCATTTACCATTGAGCAAAAATATTTTTTGACACAAAATTTTATCATTAGTGGCAGACAAAAAAGAACCAAGAGTTTAGGCCTATATTTATCATAAAATATAGTGCATTTCTATTACAGCAGCAGTATTGTTTCAGTAAAATAACTGGATAAAATCTATTTAATCTAGGACTTCCTACTGAGCTCTCCTTTTTGTTCGCCTCCTCTTCCTCCATTATAAGGTCAGGGGTGAATCTGCAACTTATTGGCTGAATGTGGTGCACCTCCCAAAATCCTCTAGCCTGTAATTTCAAAAAGAAATATATCCACCTGGCTTGCCTGAGAAAAGGAGAGAACAGTTTGCCACATCCTTCTGTAGCCATTTTTGGCAATGCCTTCACAGCTCTGTTCACATGGACAGAGTAAGAAGTCTTCCAGCCAGCACTGGCAAGAAGGAGAAGGAAATAGAATGGTATGGCCTCTGGCTGTGTGGAAGAAGATTGCAAATATCTGTAATAGGTAATACAGTATATGTAAGAATTTTGAACGTAAAAATATTATGAAGATGTAAATTCTTCTTGTGTTCTGCATAGACAGAATTACTTATGCATTTAGGCTAAGGATCTAATTAATTTTATTTATAAAATAAACGTAGCTCAGTTGGCCATAAACATAAATCTAAACCCTTAGTTAGGTAGAAGCATTATTTATTCAATTCAAAGGCCATCCCAAAACAACTTTACATTAGGGTAGATTAGAAAAAACAAGCAGGTAGGCATTGAACCATGAGTTTAGTCTTCAGATGGAACGAGGAAGAAAGTTCAGGCATTGATGTAAAGCTCTGGAGGCTTCTGTGATTATTTCTGTATGAACATAGGGCTGAGACTTAGTCTCCATTGTGCAAAAAGGAAAATCCAGCTGCTTCCCAGACCTATCTTTATCCTTAGACAAAGCCAATAGTAGTCTCTTTTAATTGGAAAAAAGAAAAAGCAGAGTAGGGAGGAATCAGAATGGAGATTGTTTTTGTTTTGGGTGATGAACTAGATTAAATGGAAAGAAGGACAATGAACTAGTTATTTATTAAAAGGTTTTTGTAGGATTTTTTAAAAAAGAAACAACTTGCATTTCTCTCAAGTGACAATGTTCCTAAAAGTATAGAACTTTTTAAAAGTTCTAAAATGCGTTCTTTCATTAAACATATGCTTTTTATTTGTTCATACAACTTCTTAAAAGACGTACCAGGGAAAATTATTGCTAATTATATTCCTCATCCATATTTTATTTTATTTATTTATTTATTTAAAACATTTCCCATCTTATATTGAACTCAGTGTGGTTCCCAGTCAGCAATTAAAACAACATAATACAAAAAATATATTAAAACCATAAACATTAAAAAAACTGGCAACACAGTTAAACTTTCAACATAAAGTCCCTCATAAAATCTTCACTTGAAGGAAATGCTAGGTCCGTGATGGCGAATCTATGGCACGTGTGCCACAGCTGGCACGCAGAGCCCTGTCTGCGGGCACGTGAGCTGTTGCCTAGCTCAGCTGCGCATGCGCACGCGAGCCTCCTGCCGGCCAGCTGATTTTTGCGATGCGCAGGAAGCGGGGTGCATGCGGGAGATGCATGCAAATGCATGGGGGGAGCATGGGGGGTGTGGCGTGTCCCCCCCCATGGCCCGTTTTTGGGCGCAGGAGGCTGCAGGAAGGCCTACTAGGCCCAAAATGGGGGGCGAGGGGTGGGATTCAGCCAGTTCGGACTGGTTTGGGCAAACCGGATGCTAATTTTACATCTGATTCACTGAACCAGTAGGTGCAAGGACTGGCTGGCCCCGCTCACCCCACCATGCCCCTCCCAGGAGTCTCCACATGGCCCATTTTGGATGCCAGGTAAGTGCAGGGCCCGCATGGAGACTCTGGGAGGGTGAAAAATGGACCTGCTGGAAATTCTGGAAGTCTGTAAACGGGCCTG